CCAGGACGCTGGGACCCCCGCCGGGTTCCCCTTACCGGGCGCGGCGCTGCGGGCTGGGTGCCTGCGGGTCGGCGCGAGCGCGCGGCCGGAGGTTCCAGGGCACGGCTGCAGGGCAAGAAGGAAAATGGGGCTAACGGAGTGCGCCCCCTGTCCCCGCAGCTGGGGACACCCGCTCCGAATGGGGCGAAACTGCTGCTGCGGAAACCGGAGAGCAGCGAGTTGGGAGCGTGCTGCCCCCCTAATGGGATGCTTCCTGTCGGAGCCCGCGAGCCCCTCGCCCCCTCCCATTTCCTCTTTAAGCCGTGTGAAAAGAGGTGGTGTTTGCAGCGTGAAAGAGAAGAACACGGGCCCCAATCCCCCCAGTTCCCCCGTTGCTAAAGGCCCCTGTTGCCTCCGCGGGCGTGTCGTGCTCTCCGGCCACCATTCCCGGAAGATCAACGTTTCATATCTCTTGTTGAGTCCAAGTACCTCTCACTCTAACACAGACCGCGCTGATCTGAGTCTCCCTGTGAAAGCACCTACAAAGAGATCTACTGAGAAAATTAGTTATTTTCTTTGGCGCAAGAAAGAATCACTGGCTTTTCAGGAAGGAGGACTTCTCTACCTTCGTGAAAAGCTGGAGCCCAGATGTGGAACAGGTTAGAATGGAGCCTTCCGCCTTTCCAGAAACTCCCCAGGGCTGGGAGGCAGAGAGTGACTACCCTTGTCTTTTGTTTCTTGGGGTTGGGTGTCTCTTCTTGGGTGTGTGTGTGTGATATTTGAGGAGTGGTACGCAGTTCTCTTCAGTGTATCCATGAGCTATTTCGCTAGCATGTGGAAGAATAGATCTTAGGTGTTTTCAGATGTAGTAAATCAAGGGATATACACGATTTAACACTATTTCCAACGTAAAAAGAGTGCCTAAAATTAATGGCGTAGAGTGAAAGGAAATATAAAATAAATAAGAATTGGGCCGAGAAGGAGATTGAATGTAAGGTATAAAAATAATTAAGACCCCAAATAATAATTAAAGCAAAACACTACAGCATTTTGGAAGACAACTACTTAAAAAAAAAAAAGAGGTAAAAGACAAATTTAGAAAAACTCTCAAAATATTTTATTGCTGGAATAAGCAAGCACAAATGCAGTTGTATAAGAAAAGGCAAACATTGCCACTATCAGATGAAGGCTCCCAGGGCAGAAAAAAAGAGTCTTGGGTCATAGTCTAGCTCTGGCTTCCCCGAGGAGTTATAGGAATTCCTCTTCTAGGGAGTTCAATCCATAGGATATTCTCTGGAAGGAGTAGTGGCATCTGCCCAGGCAGGTGATGAATATTGAATATTGTACAGGAGTTGAATACTGTACAATACTGAATATTGTACAGACTATGTAAGAGGGTATGCATTGTTTGAAATCTTCTGCTTGAAAAACTCATCATGGGGGCTTCCCTCGTGGCTCAGTGGTTAAGAATCCGCCTGCCAGTGCAGGGGAGATGGGTTTGAGCCCTGGGTCAGGAAGATCCCACATGCCGTGGAGCAACTAAGCCTGTGTGCCACAACTACTGAGCCTGCGCTCTAGAGCCCGAGTGCCACAACTACTGAAGACCGCCTGCCTAGAGCACGTGCTCCGCAACAAGAGAAGCCACTGCAATGAGAAGCCCGCCCTCTGCAACAAAGAGTAGCCCCCTCACCGCAACTAGAGAAAGCCCGTGAGCAGCAACGAAGACCCAATGCAGCCAAAAATATAAATAAATAAATTAAAAAAAAAAAGAAAAACTCATCCTGACCAAAAACAACTCTCAGAAGTAAGTCAAATATGAACCTCTTTAGATAAAATGACAGCTGATCCAGGCAGCAGGGCATGGAAATATGAAAGAAACTTCATCAGCACACGATCAACGAATTTTTATTCTTGAAGAGATAAAAGAAAAGGTGAGAAAAAAAAAAAGAAAGAAAATGAGAGGACATGTAAGTAGTCGATATACATATATATATATATATATATATATTCACTCCAATAGACAGTTTTTGAGAAGTTATAGTTTGACCCTGTGTCTGGTTCAGGAAACTCTTCCTATAGGACAGTAAGGAAAAATAAGTTCCAGTTCTGATTTGCCACGTTTTGCCCTTAGCACTCGACTCTCAGTACATTACTTTCCTCTTCAAATAAAAGGCTGTTAATGATAATTACCCTTCATATCTCATGAGGTATTTTTCATCATAAAATATTAAGGCAATAAATTGTTATTATATTATAGTGTCCTCTCTACAGCTTCTGTTTTCTATTTTATGATCAGTCTTGTATTATTTTGTTTTATGATCTTGTATTACATGTGTAACATTAAATTGTATATATTTTAATTGTTTTTGGCTGCCCGCGCATCATGTGGGATCTTCATTCCCGACCAGGGATGGAGCCCGTGCCCTCTGCAGTGGAAGCGTGGAGTCTTAACCACTGGACTGCCAGGGAAGTCCCTAAATTACATTTTAAAAACTAAAAATTGTGTCTTCCATTTACTTATGAGTCATGTTGCATAGTTCTAAACCTAAGGATTAGAAACTAGCAATATTTTAGAGAACAAATACAGCTTTGATTGTACTTTGTAAATGTATTTGATGACTAATCATGCCGACCTTATATTACTACTAGCTTCCAATTCTATACATAGAATAATGTGGAGTAGTTATTATTATGAAGAATAAATGCGGAGTATTCATGAGTGTGAAATTTATGTATTTATGAGTATGAGATTTATTTATGAGGATTGTTATTATGAGAAGTTTCTTCTTAGACTTTTTGTTTCTGTACTATATTCTTATGGAATTTAACCTACAAAGTGCTTTCACTCATGTTATTTCATCATACATGAAAGCTATAAGGATTAATATTAATATCTACATCTCAAGAAAAGCTGAATCCCCATGTGCCCAAGGTCCTGGAGCAAGTTCATAGGGGACCGGCTTTGTCACACAAGCCCTCTGCACATCTCCTGCTCTTTCCACTGTCCCCCACAATGGTCCTGGTGATGCCCCAAGCAGGGTGTTTTACCCACGGATGTCAAGCCTTCCTCTGATCCTACACATTTCTATATGCTACAGTCCGAATGAGAATTTTACAATCCTAACACTCATATTTATTTATTTATGTTTGTTTGTTTGTTTATTTATTTTTGCGGTACGCAAGCCTTTCACTGTTGTGGCCTCTCCCGTTGCGGAGCACAGGCTCTGGACTCGCAGGCTCAGCGGCCATGGTTCACGGGCCCAGCGGCTCCGCGGCACGTGGGATCCTCCCGGACCGGGGCACGAGCCCAAGTCCCCTGCATCGGCAGGCGGACTCTCAACCACCGCGCCACCAGGGAAGCCCTCATATTTATTTTAAAAATCACATTTCCATTTACAAACAAGACAGGAATAATAAGCAATGACAGAAATTGGAGGGCATATGTGGACACCCTGACGTGAGAAAACGAAAAATGAAAGAACAAGCAGGTTACAATCAGCCCCATGGTAAGCGAAGTCTTTGGCTTACAATGCACGCTCATGCACACGTGGCCCTGGATGGGCAAGCTGCGGACACAGGCGGTCCCCGCTACGTCGGCCCCTTCCTGGGGCCCTCAGGGTGTGGAAAGAGTCCCTCTATGGCTGAGAGTTCCTGCATGGGCCCAGCACGACGCTGAATGCAGGAATTAATAGACTTTTTCCAGCCAGGCTTCACAGATCCCAACTCCCTGCCCCACTACTGTGGCCCTCAGGTACCCCCCCACCACCCAACTGCAGGCCACTCTAAGCCCATAGCCATCCTGAGTCTCTGCAGGCCCTTAACCCGAGGTGGCATTGAAGTGCATGCGCACAGGCCCCTTCTCCACGTGGAGCTGGGATGGCCCTAGGATGCCTGCACACAACCTCCCGGCCCTTAGCACCCCTGAGCCCAGGTAGTATTGGGATATCGGCCTCCTCCTGCAGCCACACCTCCTAACTAGTGCATGGCTGATAGAAAGACTTCCTTTAAAGTGTTCTGTCACATTCAGAAATATGGAAATAAACAGATCCTAGCGTTTGCTTACACAACGTTAGGATCGCATCCACAGACTTATGTGGGTTGGCCCATCCCCTGTAAAAACCCCACGGTACAGCCACAGAGAGCTCTGTGGCTCTCTGCCGATGGCCCTGCCACCCCTCTCTTCTCCATTTTGAGACAGGTGCTTTATTATCATTATTATTTAAAAATCCAGATAGATGACTACATTGAAGACATTGCATGTTATTTTCCCCAAATCTTACTTCATTTTGGACAGACATGAACCATAATACATGCTAGAAAGTTGGAAACTGTGTTATTTTCAGTGTAGTTACATTTAACTTCTTGGTACTAAGCCATTGTACTGGTAAATAAACTGATGTATCAGAAGTAAACATTAATATGTAGGACTGTGACATCTCTTTCCTTGATGATAATAAAAATTTACAAGGATCAGGGGCTTCCCTGATGGCGCAGTGGTTGAGAGTCCGCCTGCCGATGCAGGGGACACGGGTTCGTGCCCGGGTCCGGGAAGATCCCACATGCCGCGGAGTGGCTGGGTCCGTGAGCCATGGCCGCTGAGCCTGCGCATCCGGAGCCTGTGCTCCGCAATGGGAGAGGCCACAACAGTGAGAGGCCCGCGTACCGCAAAAAAAAAAAAAAAAAAAAAAAAATTTATAAGGATCACTGAAGGGAGATATCTACCCATGAGAACCAGAAAATATCAAGAAGAGAGAGTGCAGGCTAAGCTCTGAATGTTTGTGTCCCCCTCCCCAGCATTTACGTGTTGAAAACCTAATCTGGAGAAGATGGTATTAGGAGATGGGGTCATCGGGAGGTTATTAGGTCATGAGGGTAGATTCCTCATGACTGGGATTAGTGCCCTTGCCAAAGTGCCCCTTCCATCAAGGTGAGGACACAGCCAGAAGTTAGCAGTCTGCAATCTCAGAGAGGGCTCTCCCCCAAACTGGACCATGATTTTGGACTTCCAGTCTCCAGAAGTGTGAGGAATAAATGTCTGTTGTTTCTAAGCCACCCAGTCTGTGTTGTTTTTTTTTTTTGTTGTTGTTGTTGTTGTTGTTTAATAGCAGTCCAAAGGGAGGAAGGCAGTGTCTAAACAAACAAACACAAGCTCAAAATAAAAACAGCTGTTTTCCCTTTGCTATGAATCCATTTTCAACTAAAAATCACCAGTCATTCCACTATTTTTCAAGAGAGGACCGAAACATCAAGCTAACTAACACGTTTTAAGGACTTTTTAAAATTGTACAACTTTATTTTAAAACTGTTTACTGGAGGAAATACAAAATTCTTGAAAACTCTGATTCCTTTGAAATCCCCCTTCAGACCCAAGTGTTCAGTTCCTTTGTTGCCAGGTTACCTGCAAGACTGGATATCACCCTGTCACGGCCTCTGGCCGGTGCCTGCAGAGCAGGCAGAGCAGGACCAGGGCGCCCAGCAGGGTGTACACGCCCAGCTTACACCAGGTCCCCCGCGCCTTGGGCCACCGCCACAGCCAGGCCAGTGGCCCTCGCTCCCGCCGCCTCTGCGCGCAGAAGGCCACTCGCTCCGCCACCCTGCGCAGCCTCTCCGCGGGGTCCTCGCCCCCCAGGGCCTGTGCCAGGCTGTACAGGTCGTTGGTGTAGGGGGCGCCGCCGTGGTGCCTCACCAGCTCCTCCACCAGCCGCATCAGCGCCATCACCTGCGCCTCCCGCTTCCCGCCGGCGGCTCGGTTGTCGAAGGCGCAGAATCGGTCCCCACACTCGGCCACCAGCTTCCTGAGCGCGCGGTTCCCGGTGTCGCGCACGTAACGCTGCAGCGAGCCCCCAGCCAGGTCCTCCTCGCGGGTGAAGACCACGATGGTGCGCGTCACGATGCCGTCCCCGAACAGCGCCTTCACCCCGCTCCAGGCCTGCTGGTCCTGGGCCGTGAAGCGGCCCAGCTGGGTCACCAGGAGCAGGGCGTGGGGCCCCGGCGCCGAGAGCAGGTAGCAGCGGCCTCTCTCCGCGCAGCCCGGGTCTGTCTGGGAGACTTCGGAGCTGAAGAGGTCCGGGGTGTCAATGATTTCCACGTCCCACTGGGCCCACCTGCAGCTGCCCGCGGCGCAGGTCCGGGTCACCGACGTCGCCCCGAGCCTGGAGAGAAAGCGCTTCTGGCCCAGGATGCTGTTTCCCGTGGCGCTTTTCCCAGTCCCTGACCTCCCGGCCAGGAGGAGCCGCAGCCTGGGCTCCTGCAGGGCAGACTCGCGGGCTTCTAAACCTGTGAGCACCAGTGATCTGTAAGCTCCTGAACCTGAAAGCACATATCCTGCTACCCGGGTCCCCTGGACGCCTTTGAACAAAGGAGAACAGAGTGCTTCGACTTTTGCTTTTCGGACCAAACCTTTACTGAGTGCCCTGGTCAGAGATCTGTGAATTCCGGGGGATCTCTAACCGTCTATTTCTTCCCTCTTTGGCGTCACACATGCACCTGTAGGTGCGCCAGCACCCGGTGAGCGTTTCTGTAGGACACCCCTGTATAATACAGGCCATTGCTTCATGGGACACGACCTGTCATCCACACTGCACAGAGCTGCTCCCTATTTGACAACTTCAGTGGCCTCTGCCATACGTTCCCAGATACCCTGCCACTAAAGAAAGGCAGGAGGGGCAGTGGGCCTGGCCACGAGGGCTGTCTGGTGTCCCACAGCCTTGGTCTGAATCACAGCCCCACCCCCTGCCAGCCGTGTAACCCTGGGAAGCTGCGTAATCTAAGTGTTAAACCTCTTCTGCACAAATGGGATCATTGATGTAGCGCCGTCCGCATAGGGCTGTGGGGAGGATCAGATGAGACCATCTCTGCCCCCTTCCCTCTTTCCC